AGTAGGCTACCATCTGTTCTATGCCTTCAGTTAAAGGTATGAGGCCACAATCCCCCTCGGGTCATCGATGCCTACTGCTAAGCTAGTGATTCGGCACAGAGATTTGCCAACGTCTCATCAACATCATCAAAGCTGGACTATAAGGTGCAATTTCCACTACAGCTCGACGCATTCACCTACACGGCAAGGTCAAAGCGATCGAAAGCCGTAGGCTCCGAGATGTATGACCTTCTAGGCGTTATAGTACATCTAGGAACGATCGACACAGGTCACTACGTCTCATATGCTCGTGAGGGACGTCAGGTATGATGAGCCTTGTCATCTTAGATAATATACAAGTGCTCTAACTATGTCTTAGTGGTTTCGCTTCGACGATAGCAAGGTAACCCTAGCTTCTGAACAAGAGGTACTATCCGCCGATGCATATCTCTTGTTCTATATCGTCCGTAACTTGAGCTAAATCTTGGGTACTATTGGTATGCAATGGCGAGCGTCATGGAGGCAAATGCTGCAACCGCACACGTGTATCTATCTATGTACGTACTTATGAGTGCGGAGAGCCCCCTCCTAGCAAATGATTCTCGGGACATTTTCTACTCCAACCCAACCATCACGCGTGTATTTTGACATATACCTGATATTGGGTGTTGATTTTGCTGGACAATTCAATAATTTTACAACAGAAAATCTCGGCGATCGTAATATTGCTTAGCGACTAGTCCCTTTTCATCTCTTGCGCTGACAGTAAGCAAACTATGGCTAACGAGACCACCAACGATGATGAACCAATGTAAGATTTCTCGTATGTCGACTGAAAATAGCTAAGGACCGTATTAGAGAGCTTTCCCAAAGCACACTCGAAGCACTTAGCCAATTCTATAGCGAGCGGGACGACCGCCAAAAGAAATTCGAGGACCTCAAAGTTCAGGATGCGGAGGATGCTAACCCACCCATCAGCATGGAGATGTTTGCGGAGGATTGGAACGCGAGCCAATTCTGGGTGAGTTTCGGCTCAGCGTGGTTTGGCCAAATAGCGTTGACCATACCGTCCTTAGTATGACGACGAGACAGCCTCGACACTGGCCAAGCAGCTTCTGGAAGGTGTGAAGGACGACTTAAGAGTCGGATTCATCTCTGCGCCAAGCGTATTTGTACAGTTCAAAAGGCTTATGGTCAGTGGCATTTCGGTCTGCAGGCTTACTTCGGCTGGTAGATAACGACTTCTTGACTAGGCATCTATAGAAATCTCTAGTAAACCTCGAATATATCTCTTCGAATTCGATAAGCGATTTGCGGTATTCGAGGAGTTCGTTCACTATGACTTCGAGAATCCCACGCGACTACCTCGTACTAAGAACCCCACCCCACCCCGCCAGTTTGTGACCAAGCTGACCTGCCGATCAAAGCCGAACTTAAGGGAAAGTTCGATCGGATTATATGCGACCCACCATTCCTAAGCACAGATTGTCAAACAAAGGGTGAGTCACATACTCATTTACGAACAAAATTTCCACAACACCATCTGACCGAACGACCGGGGAATCGCCAGTTGCGATTACTGTGCGTTGGCTCACAAAACCCGAGGGCATGCACTTGACCAATGAGATCGCAACCTCGAATACATCTGTACCCCGGTTCCAATTGATTGCCTGTACCGGGGAAAGAATGGAGAGTCTCGTGACCAAGCTGCACAAGCAAGCTGGACTACGCCCAACGAACTTCGAACCACGCCATGCAAACGGCTTGGGTAACGAGTTTAGATGCTATGCGAATTTCGAATGTGATGCTTGGCACTGGCGATGATATGCCGAGATGGTAGGATGTGCCGGATGCATCGGAAACGAAACTTTCTTTCAATGCATATGTGCACCTATTTGTGGGATTAATTAATCTGTTGACCATCAATCATCTCGTGAAGAGCTGAAGCAGAAGTGGACGGAGGGAGTTTGTTTCATTAAGAGATATGTTATCGTTCAAATGTGGCGAGTCGCCTTGACCGGAACCAACCTTTACATGGGGGGTGAGGTTGTCATAGCAAATTCGAATACCAATGTGAACACGGATGCGAATTGTGGATAGCGCGTTGCATTACTGGTTTAGCATGCTAAGAAGTGGGGAACGGGCAGGCCAAGCCACCGGAAAAGGCTGAAACGTCGGGTTATAAGTTGTTGGATGTGGCTGCTCTGCCATGTGACGTCAGCCTAACACCGCATCGCACTGTGATGGTCGCACACGGATTCGTCGGGATTAGAGGGGCCTGATATATCTGAATGCTCTGGTAAGGATGACGATCGGAGTTCGGAACGTCGCAGTGAGCAACACCGACTTTTTGCCCGCTGTTTGGCTCCGGAGTAGCTGACATATCCTGCGCTGGCAGGAGCGGGACATGATAAATCCTAATCACCCCCCGTGGTCGCTGGAGCTCGTCGGGCCATACTACATATCTACTTGATATCTGATGTGGAATATCCAATGTGTTGATTGACCCCCGCTCCTACTGTCACAGCTATATTCTTCATTCCTGTTACCTTTTGCCCCAGCGTCCAATATATGCAGCTCCGTAGTGTTACCAAACTAACTTCCGCGGCGCTTCTGCTAGAGTTTTTGTTTCTGGCAGCTGCATTCGCTCACGATGGCCACAGCAACATGGAGGAAGATATGGACAAAATCGGCCCCTCTCCTTCGGCAGGTCTGAGCAGACCAGCCGCCTCTGTATCGCCGAATGCAGTCCAAACAAACCACCCGAGTTACTTCGGATACTCCGCGGGGTCGGGTTTCATCTATGCCCACGCATTTTTCATGGTATTAGGGTGGATGTTCTTGCTTCCTGTTGGTATGCTATCTGATTGACAAGTCTTTTTGTAGTAATGGTATGTTAAATATCAACATAGGCGTTATGCTAAGCATCGCTAAATCGAATATCCGCACACCTGTCCAGGCCCTCTTTCTCGCCATCAACGTTCTTGGCGTAGTGTTAGGAGCAATATACAATGCGAAGACTCCCGATCTCTACCCTCAGAACTCTCACCATAAACTTGGTTGGGTGCTGACCTGGCTCGTGGGAATCTATATACTCATGGGACTCTTGAGCAACTATTCTGAGAGAGATAGAGGCTACGATAAGACATCGGCTGAGGGCCTGCCATTCTTACCAGTTTCTGTCGAAGCTATGGAGGCATATCAGAAGGCGCACGGCGAGGAAGCCGAACATCGCCGACATTCCAACGACAGTGGCCAAGGTACGGAAAGGGCCTCGTCTTCACTACGGAGCCACTCGCTGTCACCTACTGACGAGTACGGTGATCAGCGGCTACCGAGCTACGGACGGATCTACAGTGATGGGGAAGATGCGACGACGCACGGGAGGCGATTGTTCCTGCGCAGCAATGTTCTAGATAGGATTGTGCGACAGGTTCTGGGCTTGCCGAAAGGCGTACTCCGCCTCACCGAGATGTTGTACACTACTGTGGATCGTGTGATTCTCATTCTTGGGTTTATCGCGATATGTACGGGTGCTGTTACCTATGGAGGCATCATGGTAAGTGCTGTCGACTTTGGACTGTGAATACTTCGGCTAGGACTGATCCCCGAAGCGAGGTGATGGGATTTTCAACGGTCTCGCACATTTTATCAAGGGCGGTATCTTCTTGTGGTACGGCGTCCTGACCCTGGGTCGATGGATGGGCTGTTTCGCAGACTTAGGTTGGGTAAGTCAGAGCGGTTGACGTTTGGCGTGGTATTTCGCTAAGTCAGGGGGTGTGGCAGGCGTGGAACATCAAGCCTTCGCCTGTGGCCGGCTCGTGGAAGACGTCCATCCCTTCAGCGGAATTTGTCGAGTCGTTCGTGATATTTCTGTATGGCACAACGAATGTGTTTCTCGAACACCTCGCAGCGTGGGGAGATGCATGGACCGCCCAAGATCTGGAGCATGTGTCGATTTCGGTAATGTTCTTCGGCGGAGGTCTAGTGAGTATCCTAATTGTGCCGCATAATGTTAGGTGTCCTCAAAGCTGATGGGCGGTAGTGTGGGATGCTCGTCGAATCGGCAAGAGTTCGAGACCTGCTGAACACGACAATTTCCACTTTCTCAGGGAACCAGCATAATGACATTAACTCCACCAGCCCGCCCAAAACATATGATTTTTCCATGAATCCCATACCCGGATTAATTATTTTATTATTAGGCTTAATGATGAGCTCTCATCACCAGAGTTCTGCCATATCGGCTATGGTTCATAAACAGGCAAGTAATGTCTCGTTCGTAAGTCTCTGGCCTTCATACTTATTTGGCTATAGTGGGGCACTCTCCTAGTTGGATTCGCTCTAGCCCGGGCCGTCACATATGTTGTTATATATCTGTCACCCCCAGCCTCATTTCTGCCATCAAGACCACCGTCGGAACTGATCGCGTCATTTTGCCTCATGTCCGGCGGTCTTATATTCATGGCTAGTGTGAGGAAGGCCCTCTATCCTTCTCTTCTGCGAATAGTATACTGACCGACCACCTTATCTAGACCAAGGATATTGTCAAGGCAATAGAGGCTTATCAATTGGATGCCATGTTTGTATTCACTCTAACCGTTGGGCTGACGGCTTTCTTCATGGCCTGGATTATTATGGTGGTTGCCGTTAAAGGCTGGGCCGTGCGGCGCGCACAAACAATCTTTTAGATTCTTCCCACTCACATAGGAGTTTGTTCTAGACGAATCGCGGAGACCCACTATTGAGTGCAGTAATTTAGTATTTAAAAAATTACTATGGTTAGCGCTAATTAAATAGAAATGAATTTGCAAAAACCGCTCTCAGGTTGCCAAGTCCTCTGTACCGACTAGGTAAGCGGATCATCATTCCCGAGATGGGGCATAAAAAAGTCTGTCCGTGCGACCCGCACAATAAACGGTGGGATCTAGGCAACTGATACTAAGAAGCTTGGGCGGCGGCGTTTTAAAAGGCAGTGAGAAAGAAGATCAGCCAAAGAATAAAAGGAAGCATAAAAAAATCGTCACGGACAAGATTTGAACTTGCGCGGCCGAAGCCATAAGATGGCTAGAATTCTCGGAATTCAAGTCTTACCCATTAACCACTCTGGCACCGTGACCATATCCCAAGGCTCGGGTTATTTGCGCCTATGAACATTTAGCGGAAAGTTGAATGCGCCTGCCTCGGCTACTGGGCTATTTATTCCTATAACGAAGTTATGCTACGCTCGGAAAATCTAGAATTCGGGACCCTCGATGTTTTTAGAAATAGGAGCGCATCTTAGTTCTATACGTTGTGCAATCCTGTTACTTACATAAACCTCCATTTGTTGCTTGTGCTGTCCCCGAGTGCCCTACCCTCTTTCTGGAGTTTCCACAACACCTGGAGCACTCCACGCTCTGCGGCTAAATGCAGATCTTCAGATACGTCTTGATAGATAACTTTGACGATTTCCATCGGGGTCCATCCCGCCAGGTCCCTGCTCTCATCAGCCTGCTCCATGTCTGGAGGAGGTTTTGCGCTTTTTAGCACCTGGATCACCTGGTTTTCTCGATCTGATCTATGCTGGATGTACTCGAGAACCCTTGCTGGCCCATCTTCGATGGCTGGACCATGGCCTGGGTAAGCTCTCCCGGAAAACTGGTGGCTCATCATTTCCAGGCTTGACAGATAATTTGCCAGGTCTTCAAAAACAGCTGTCCCATGACCAAGAACATTGTCCCCAGTGAACATGGCATCCTCTTCTTCGAAAACCAACGCCATATGGTCCGTGGTGTGTCCGGGCGAGTGGAAGGCTCTTAGAGTAGCCCCTTCAACACGAAACCGCTGCCCATCTTCGATATCTAGCTGGCTGTCGTCGGCACTGTTCTTGTAGACTCTCGTTCCGGGCGAGGACTTGAGTAGGTCTTTTACGCCGCCAACGTGGTCTGGGTGCCAATGTGTGAGGATTACGGAGTCCACGCTTGCATGTTCTGACATCAACACGTTTTTAAGGGACTGTATCCACGATGGTCTCCCGTCACCTGTGTCAATGAGCAAGCGGCGTGGGCCCCTACCGACTAAATACGTGTTGGTGCCTGGCAATGATGAGCATCCGCAGTCCGCACTCCAGGACTTACGATAGTAATACCTTGCAAAGTGAACTACACGTATATGGAGTTAGCTTGCGGGGCGTGTGTTACGCCTTATTTGCCTAAGTCTCACCTTGCCTGGGTTTCCGCCTAGTATTCTGATTACCGATGCACTCAGCCTCTCAGTCTCTGGTAAGGGCGGGAGTTGCGGGTTCATGGGAAATTTTACACCAATTCTGTTAACAGAGGCTGGCTTTTGTGGTTGTACGTCTAAAGCCCGACAAGTGAGGAATGAATGTAGCAAATGCCTCGGCTGCTGTCACGTCCTTACTAAGCGTTGAGATGCCGACTGATGTTCACAAGACCTGAAGTATATATATACACGCTAGTCTAAGGCAATGGACGACCATCCCCCTGTACAACTGGTAGACGTGACCCTACTGGTCATCAATGACATGTAAGAACTTCTTTTCCTCGCGCTTCTCCTTCTCCGTAGCAGGTGGCTGATCGTAGAATGCTGCGCTTCTATAGGATTGCTGTGTATTTCAGACTGGTTAGCTATGTAAACTTATAAGGGCAAAAAAGACGAGGTTAGGTTTACCAGGTATTGGTAAGTCAGATTGCTGATCTCAGCTGGCTCAATTCCCAGGTCTTTGAATGTCTTTGCAGAAGGGTCGACCTTTTGATCAATAAACTCTCTCTCCACTTCGTCAGCTGACATTGTTGGCCACCACAGCAGCTTGTTTAGGACCCTGGCAACTGGAATGAGTATGCGCTTCGGCACATTGACGTGGCGGCGATGCTTTATGATTTCTTTGTCGACTAATTCTGCTATCTCGGCCATAGAGTAATTCTTCGGACCATAAAGCTCGAAAGTTTCCGATGCAGTGCTATCATCTAGAAGCATAGCCTCTAGGGCATGGCCAACGTCCACAACCTGCCCAATGAAGTAGCCTGTTAGGCTTGCTCTTAACAGTCAAAAGGGGTAGGGTAGTACCCACATGTACTGGCCAAAATCTCTCCTGCATGTGATTGGAAGTAAACAGATTCGTAACCCCAGCTAGTTTGTGCAGAAGGTGATCCTCAAAACCAAAAAGTGGTGCTGGCCTAACAATGGTTGCCTCTGGGAAGATACTACGGACAACTTCTTCGCTACGCCCCTATTATAGATCGCGCGAGTTAGTTTGTTAAAAGGTGACTTGGGAATACCGCCTTACTTTTGTTCGAAAGAACTCAGACGGCGAGGTGCTGTCGGCATTATAAGAGGAAACATGGATAAATCTATCAACATCGTACTTTGATACTGCTTCAGCGATACGCTCTGCCCCCTCAACATGAACGTCTTCGTAATCGAAGTTTCTGTATCGCTAGCGTGAGCAAGTGGTTACTAAATCTGGAATAGGGAAAACACTTGTGAAGTGGGTATTCATAAATCAAGCTACTTACTTCGTGGGATACATGCGACCGATGAGGTTGTAAACCACATCGGAGTGCCGCACGCTCTCTTCGATGGACTGAGTATTACGAAGGTCGTACTCCTTTGGATAACAGTAAGGTATCACATCTACCATTGGAATGTCTTGTAGTTAGGCGGTCTTACCATGAAAACGACTCGCCCTAGGTCGCCTGTGACTTTCAGGTGCCTTTTAGCCATTTCCTCCCTATATGGGATGACGACGGTACATCCTTGCCGAGCTATGGAATCGAACGGTTAATAGCGGTACTCTGAGAACATAAAAAAAGGGAATCTAGTATGCACCAAGTCTGCTAACGATGTATCGGCCCAGAAATCCTGTAGCTCCAAAGACGGTTGCCGTGTGACCTTTCAAATAATATTAATCGGGAGCTGAGATGATTTAGTTAATGGCTTCAATTACCTCCGAGCGAAGACCTGTTCACAGTTTACAGTGAGAACATACTCCAACACTTCCTAGGAGGCTGGTCGTATTACCTTCCACCCTGTACTCGGATGATGGGTTTACCGGTCCGTGTGATAGAGATATCTTGCAGGCCTCTTTGTAGCACAATTGGTGTATGTTTCGATCTGGTAGCTGTCTTTAGGCTTATAGCTGTCGGCGCGGTCCAGCATTTATGCATGACGGCCGCTGGACCACTTGGTCGAGCGGGTTCTGATTTTGGGTAGTTGAAGAAGGTTGAGCTTTTGAATAGGGTTGCGGTCCAATGACGACGATCAAAGATCCATCTAAAGCGGCATCGGCGGCTCTTTGAGGCTCTTCTGAGCTCGTTTATACCCAACTTTCTCTCAAATACCTCCATTCATCAGTCATCTGGGCAGCCTTGTTAGTCTGTTTTTCCGTATATTAGAATTCCAGGGTACCGATAAGATCATAGGTGGAAGAGAACTTTATCTAGGCATGGACTTCGATACTATTCCTAACTTCCTCGCGGAGCAGCGAGACGCTGCTCCTGCCGATCTTCAACACTTAGTCATGTCTTTCGAGGATTTCTGGGAGCGGCGGCTGTGGCACCAGCTCACTGATGTTCTCGTCGAATACTTCAGCCACAATGAAAGCGCTCCACAGCGAATTTCGTTGTATAAGACCTTCGTGCTAAGCTTTTCGGAGAAGATAAACCAGCTCAAGCTTGTGAAGCTGGGTTTGATTGCTGCAACGCAGTGCAAAGGTGCGTTGCGACCACGCCTTATTTGCTGAGTCAATGGTCTCTGACCTCCTTGTTAGATGACCAGGAACGTCTTGTTTTTTTAGCAGCTATAGCTGAGAAAGTAAACAAGCCATCATCTCAAGATGCCTTTGTTTATGCCACAGTAGCAGTGGCTGGAGTGAAGCTTCAGCTTGAGGACTACGATGGGGCGAGGAAAGAGCTAGATCGAGCGGAGAGAATACTTGACTTATTCGACTCAGTGGAGACCATGGTCCACGCCTCTTTCTACCGGGTCAACGCAGATTACTATCAGGTATGACTTGTGATTTTCAGGGACTTTATGTTATGGCTGGTTGACTTCAGTTAGGCTAAGCTTGAATTCGCATCTTACTACAAGAATGCGTTACTCTTCCTCGCCTGCATAGATATTTCAGATCTCAACCCTGCAGAGCGCCAGACCCGGGCGTATGACCTCAGCGTAGCTGCACTAGTATCTGATTCCATCTACAATTTTGGCGAGCTACTCCTGCATCCGATTTTAGACTCGCTAGCCAACACCCCACATGCTTGGCTTCGAGACCTCCTATTTGCATTTAATCGCGGTGATTTGGCGGCATACGATGTTCTTGCCGGCAATATTGCAAAGAATAGGTTGTTGGAAGAACACAAGGAATTCTTGTACCAAAAAATTTCCCTTTCCGCTTTGACAGAAACCGTCTTTCGTCGCCCACCACATGACCGAGCTATGACATTCGCGACTATCTCGGAAGAGACGAAAGTTCAATCAGACGAGATCGAACATCTCGTCATGAAGGCTCTTAGTTTGGGGCTACTGCGAGGGAGTATTGACCAAGTGGCGGAGGTCGCAAGGATCAACTGGGTACAACCGAAGGTTCTTGATATGAAGCAGATTGACAGCATGAGACTGAGGCTACGAGAGTGGGATTCTAGCGTCAATCAGTTGGGTAACTGGATCGAAGGTGTTGGGCAAGATGTTTGGGCAGCATAAGTGGGTGCCTGTTGGTGGGGGGTGGCATATGCCAGGCTTCCGGGAATTGACCAGCTTACGCTCAGGTACTAATTCTGTACCGGAGCCATGGCTGGGTTAATTCGCTCAGTGAAGTGACATCTCAAATAAAATGAACATGTCTGGTGTTGCTGGGCCTATTGCTGGGGGCTAGGTGGAAAATCTTGTTTATCATATATGCGCAGTCCCTTCTTCCTGATGCTAGGGAGTAGCGGTCTCTGATGTTGACATGCAACGTAACACTTGTATAGATAAATCCATATTTCTATAGAGCTCTCTATGTCGCTTCCGCTCTCCAAGGTGACAAGCCTGGCGGTTCTCATGATCCACTGTTGGACTTTACTAGTGATGAAGCCAACAATATTGTACCAGTTAACCAGGCCGGCCACCATACACACC